ACTCATAAAATCTTAGTGGGACTAAAGAAAATAAATGATATTTTTATTGTATGTTTCAAACAAATTTATCCTTTTGTAAGTTAATTAACTCCTATTTGTTCATGTTTATTACAAACTTGCCTTATTCACTCCTCTATAAGAATATTAGCTAAACTTTCCCTATTCAATTTTTCACTATTGTGAAGATGTGTATAATGAGATGGTCTGGTTTCTATCCTCATTTTACTAGTTTGGCTTTGTTATGTCCTCGCGATTGGCTTTTATTTTTTGGATATATTTGCTATATCTAACTTGGTGACGTTTCTTTCCCTCTCCATATGGTCGTCGATCAAGCTCATTCTTGGGTGCTTCCACCTATCTAATGAGATGTATTCATCCCACTTTAGCCGGCATCCTCAGTGTGGACACTTATTTAAAATCAACGACTGAAAACGTAACTTTGAGGAACTATTTGAGTGTTCTTTTTGGATCTCCACTGATGATGCCAACTAGACGTTTTAAACTTCGCACTGTAGACTACCAGTCACTAAATGAAGCCAAATGGCCAATGATTTTCTGTACAGAGGTGATTTTATATCGCATTTTATATAAAAAGGGTACAGTAAGAGTATAGTGCGAATAAGAGACATATTTGTGCAAAAGGTATTTCTATCAACGAAAGAGTTTGGCAGGGCATTTCCAAATTTTATACCTAACTTCACTGGTCAGTAACGATTGTTTTTTGCTTTTGGAACCTCCAAGTTGACCCATTTAGCGAGTAAGGGCGCTGGATAATTATATATTATAACATCCAAAGTCTTAGCTCTGGCTCTAAGGGTATGGGCGAGGACTGATAATTTAAACGTCTACAAATGTTCTTACTGACGCTTTCTTTCTGTATTCTCTTCTCCTCTTTGCTCATTTGTTTATTCTCACAAATGCTTACGTGCACACATTTGTAAATATACATGAAATGCGATATAATTTGTCGGGATCCCTACAATCCAGCCGAGGAGCGGACTTACTTCTAACCGACTCCTCTCAGATCCCCGAGGGTCTGTTTACCTCGGCGGCTCAGCCTACCGGACTCTTAAAGCTGCCAATCTCTCCCGTTGGCCGACGTCTCGACGCCTCAGTCCGAGTGGCTTCTTTGAGCAGTGGTCAGCTGCATCTCTGGCACCAGGTGGGCTCACAGGCGCAGGGTACTCATGTTCACGCCATCACACTAGCTCGGGTGCCTTTCTCACATCCCGTCCCTTCGTCTAGCACGGATTCCACACCATCCTTTGTCACACCTTCGAAAGACTGTGCCGCATGCGCCGATTTCTCCGCTGCTGGAATGAGCTCCCCACCGACTCTTCGGCCGGCCTCTGGTCAGACCCATCTCATAGCGTCCACCAATCTGGGTTCAGACAACCTCTCTAGTTTCTATCAGGTAAACTTACGTGAACTCATGACCTGACCTTCATTTTTGTATCTCTATTTATGAAATAGGACACAGCTAGGAATAATTCATCCTTAGTGTTAGTTCGACCTCGTTTTCGCAATTTGGTCGGAGCGCCAGGGAGACCTTGTTGAACGTCCTCTGCCATACAATTCATGATTTCCAACATCGGACCATCAACCTTGGGGATTCCCAAACATTTCACCGGCATCGTAGTCGGCGTCATCAATGAGAGAGTTATAACTTATCAAAGTGACAAGTTAAGGCAATCCCCTTTATCTATTTTCTGACTCGTAAGCTTGTATTTTCTGTTCAACCATTATGGCATCATTCCTCACCCCCATTTTTTTGTTCTTTCTTCTAGTGCTGCATCTCTTTCTCCCAACCCCACTTTGTATGGCCCATTTACCTACTCACACAATTCTAAGCTATCGTCTTCCTCAATGTCGCTTAAGGGTGTGTCGCTTCCAGTTGATATTGTGAAGCGTAATCATCTTCAGCACCGGCCCCTGGTATCGTTTGCGGGGCCTTCATTCAGCCTCCCATTCTTCCACCCTGCCTGTCAATTGGTTGCTGCTACGCCTCAAAATCACGGTCTGGCTGTCTGAATTATCGCTGCTTAAGAGCCTTCAATGAATGAAAGCAGCTCTGCAAACTGAACCGGTGATAGGGCTGATTACGCTTCACTATCCACTGGAAGCGACACACTCTCAGGCTACATTGGGGAAAACGAGAGCTCAGAATTAATTGAATAGGTAATTAGGCCATGCAAAGTGGGGTTGGGAGAAAGAGATACAGAACTAGAAGTTATAACAAAAAATGGGGGTGAGGAGTGATGCCACAACGGTTGAACAGAAAATTGGTCAAGGGGATTGCCTTCCCTTGTCACTTTGATGAGTTATAACTTTGTGC